AATCGCATACTCGCAACTTTTTAACTTTGTAATTTGGTCGTTAGATGTTCTGTACCAAAAAAATCAAAATACAGTGGTACAAGAAAGTTATGCAATGACGTTGACAAGAAACTGTTTTCTGCCTCTGGTAAGCATCATATTCAAACTCTGTTTATGGCTTTCTCGATTCAACTAGAGTTTTTTGTTTGTTTTTGTGCTAATTCGATATCATTGCATATGTAGGTAATTACTCGAGGAAGCGATCAAGTGGCAATTAGTTCAAAATTTGAAGTACGCAACGATCCAGCTGTTGTCCGTAATTTTGGACAGATTCTTGTAGAATTTTCCAAAATCGTTCCTGATGGGATAGTTGCCTTTTTTCCAAGCTATTTATATATGGAATCGATTGTCTCTATGTGGAATGAAATGGTACGGTATATGTATTCGCGCGAACACAAAAATTATTCAATAAATGCTAACATAAAATTGCAGGGAATATTGAACGAGGCATGGAAACGAAAACTAATATTTGTGGAAACACCTGATGCGACAGAGACGACTCTCGCTCTGGAGAATTATAGACTGGTCTGTAATTGATCAATTACTTGACAAGGAAAACGGTATTTTTGTCGTAATGACCAAGTTTTCAATACCCAATAGGCGTGCGATAACGGACGTGGGGCAATACTTTTGTCTGTTGCGCGAGGTAAAGTCTCTGAAGGAATCGACTTTGACCATAATTACGGACGCGCTGTGATTATGTTTGGGGTCCCATATCAGTATACTGAAAGCAGAATATTAAAGGTAAAGCGTTGAATGAATATGGTTTCATGTTTTATGTTGCTGATGTTTTGCATCTTGCATCAACAACGCTGTCAGACAAAGGTGTACTAACCATTAAAAAATCTTAAGGCGCGACTGGAATTTCTTCGCGTGAACTATCGTATACGTGAGAATGATTTCCTCACGTTTGACGCTATGCGACATGCAGCACAATGTGTCGGGCGTGTGCTGAGAGGGAAGACTGATTATGGATTAATGATATTTGCCGATAAGGTAATATTTATAGAGAATGGAGGAAAAAAT